TCGACACTCATTTCTGCAAAACTGTTCCGACTTTCTTCGGCTACGTAAGTCAAAAGGTTAAGGTCAGCGCGTGGCTTTCTTTTGCTTTGTCGACGAGAAAGAGAGAAAGGAAATCGAGTCTTCAAAACTTGGTGAGATCTGGGGTATCTACACGTGCTTCATGTGGGAAGTGAAATACACCAGCCGGATTAAGTAAGAAAAAAAAGAAGAAAGAAAAAACCAGGCGCCTTGCTGTGTATAGCTCCTTACTAACTATTTTTATTTCAGCCATGAGAACATTGAACTTGACGCACAGTAGAGTAATGTATTACAGAGATGTACAAAAGCAAAGCCACAACGCTCTCAAGTAGGCCTTTGCCACCCACTGAACAGGAAGCAAATATTTTGCTGAGGTATTTTTCTTTCTCTGTTGCAGCTTATAGCATCCTCCCACTCTTTTCAATCAATTGCTTTCAGATTCAAAGCATCACAGATTCAGATTCAAAACCAATAGTTGCAATATTTCCACTTTCTTTTTTTTTCTCTTGAAAGACCAAAGTTCGTAAGCAGAAACGATCCCCGTGTTCTCGGATAACCTAATAAAAAAGAGAGAAAGAAAAAAAACTTTTAGCTTGCAGGGATTTTGTAAAGGCACAGAAGGAAAACGAATAAAAGAAAAGAAAACCTGTGGTGACAGTGGTCGCTGAGGTTAAATAAATGAACGATCCTTTCAAAGTCACTCAAATTCAGCCAACATATGGGCATCCCCACTCCCACGCATGAAACCAAGTGAGAGCTGATTCACCTTGGCAAAGCAGGGTTACGGAGAGGTAAGGAGGTGTGAGAACTCTAAATTGACATGGTACACAAGCCGACTGCTGCCTACATGTGAAATCAAACAATATCGAGCAGAAGTGCAGCTTGCAGAAGTTCCAACCGGATCCAGAACAAGCTTTTTGTGGCTCTGATCAAGGCAATGGGACCTGTTCTCCCAAAGTGTCAAAGCCCAACAATTGTTCCATCTTACTTTGGAAAACCAATGGAAATGGGTTGTAGATGTAGATTAATAATAATTCAGTAGTTTTTATGATGCTCGGCGATGGACCAGCGACCCGCCCAGGGTGACCCCGCCTCTCGCCCGTTGACAGCTGGAGATAGGCACCAGCACCCCTCCTGACCCCAGTGGGATAAGGGTGAAGAAAATGGATGGATAGTTTGATGACTAGATAGCATGAACTAAGGTGTAGCAAGTCGCAGCTAGCTCATTGTTACTGTGAGGCACGGTGGTGGAAGGGTGCTGATATGGGGTCAGCTGATAAAGAAATCAGCAAATTCCTCCATTTGAATGATGAAAAATTCTCAAACATGTGCAGAAAGTATTTAAAGTATTTAAATACGATGTGATGAAATTTTGCATGTGAAGAATTCAGATTAAAACAGTTCTAGAGAGTTTAAAGCCTCAAACGCTGATTTTTGTCATTTCTGAAGATTTGTGATTGGTTATGTGTGAAGCCAATCTTATCCACTGGTTTTAATTACCTCAGCAAAGGGCTAAAAAAGTGAACCGTTGCCATCTCAGCGACTTTCTTGCAACAGAAATCCAAATCGACATGCTTCTTAAACATCGGTAGTCATCGATCAGCCAGAAAAACTCCCAATCGGCGCACGCCTAGTTCAAACGACGAGCTTTCGATCAAATTCTGATAACACACTGACTTAAATTGATCATATTCCAGATCCAAACCCCAATTTTGATTTTAAGTCGGTTTCCGAAACCAACAAATATGAGCCAAAGCTACCAAAGTACACTGATGTTCTTTGACAAAAAAGCACATTCACAAGACTATCCACAGCGATAAATTAAAATAAGTATTTGATCATGATCAATGATAAAATCATATGGGCAATAAAAGAAGTCAGAACATAATAAAAAGAATTATCAAAATAAAAAATTCACTGAAGAGAGCCCATCTAAAAAAAAAACAAAAACAGAATCCACGATGGATGCTGAGTTAACTCTACCAAAGGGCTCTTTTATATATGAGATAAGGTGTACATTATTGAGCTCATAATTGGGAAATTATTGGAAGTAATCTTAAGTATTTGAAAACTCAAACTGGTAAAAGTTGTGGACTGTTTTCTTACACTTCAAGCTTTTCGTGTGATGCGAGAGGTCTGCAACAAGTTGCGGATGTTTTCTCATGATGTGGACTTGTGTGAATCCTGTCACTTAACACGGCCACACCCAAAGCACATCTGCCCATGGGTCGTGTGGCTGTGCGAGTGCATCACTTCGTCTAGGCATTATTTTGCAAATGAAAAGGTGTCAAGCCGCAAGCCCTTTCGCAGTAGAACTTAAAAGAAAAAGAACAAAGAAACAGAGGGTGTTGGTAGGATATGGTCTGCTTCTAATGTTCATCCTGCCATACCAAAGCAAAGCCCACCGTCTAATTTTGTGAGGCATCTTTCTCTGAAACAAATGACGAAACAGAATTTTTTTGTATTTTTTTTGGGGGGGGAGTTTGTTTTATCAGCAACAAAGCAGCTCAAACACAAACTACTCAACCGCTTCGTCTGTTGCTCAATCAAACATCACACAATACTAATAATCAGATTTAGTGAGGCAATAGGTGATGTGACCTGCTAACAAGGGTTTAAGTTAAAATACAAAGTGTCATAAATTAGGATCTCCCAATATTCGTCTGATTGTAACGAGAAGGCAAAATCCTGAAGGATCACTAAAATATATTTTGAAAACCCATTTATCTGTTCCTTTTAAGTTAATGATACAACATAATGGTTTAGACTTTTACTACAAAGTTTACCTTTATTTTGTACATTTACATTGATGTTTTTATGCTTTTCTACTAATAGTTCAGCAAAATGTTAGCATGCTAATATGCAAAGCTAAAATGGAACATGTGGCCACACAAAACGGATGTTTGGGCTCATCATAAATAAAAAGTTGGTTTCTGACACAGTTTTGAATATTTAAATTGTTTGCTTCTTTGTGTTATAGTAATGTTAAGCCTACGATAGCGGCGCTAAAAGCTACAAACTAATAGAAAAATGTAAGCAATCAACTTGCATACTTTATGCAGACTGCTGGATGTAATATTCATGAGCAGTAAATATTGTGCTAGTGTCAATTTTGGCTGACAGGTGTTTGAGTAAGGGGGTGGGGGCACCGGTGGAACAGGTAAGCAATCAGATGAGCTGAATGAATTTAAACACAGCATGGACGGTTGAGGGATTCTAACGATGAACGAAGGAGCATTTCAAGAATCTCAAACCACAACATTGCAGTAATGGCCTGACACTGGTTGAACTCTTCTCGGCATCCGTTCCTTTGTCAGTTCTGCAGTGAAGAACTGGTGCCCTCTGTTGCTTATTGTCTTCTGAGCAGAAAGGCACAGGAATCAGGAGCACGATGTCCTGTGGCTGATACAGCGGCCAACTGAGATGCTGCAGTGTGTAAGAGCCACGCCTGTCCCGTCACACTTGCGTGTTTTATTTTGAGATTTTCCTCTGTGGTGCTAGCGAATGCCACTCTCACTCACATACATGTTCAGTTGCAGCTTCCCCACCTCGTTTTCTAACTCTGTGCTCGTTGCTCAACAATACACACATAGACACACATCTCCATACTTGTTCACACAATGCAGATACACAGAACACACACACACATACACACACCAGCTGTGTGGAGTAGATCTCATTGTGGTTTATTGTCAGTTTGCATCTCTGCCAAAGATTCGTAGTGGTCTAAAAACAAGAGGAAATGGCATTTGATGCAGCACAAGATTCAGTAGGAACAGATGTTAATAGTTACATGAACTGAGAAATAGGCCAGTTTTAGATTCATCACTATCTGTGGTGAAGCTGCCATTGCAGGAACTGTTGCGTTGCCAGAATTGAAGCCGGCAACGTCACGCAGCTCTTTGAGTCCGACTCTAAACATTGATTTTGGCGCCCTCTGCTGGAAAATGAGGGGACTTTGTTTACAAAGTCAATAAGAAGGAGATTGTGAATGTGAATGTATGGGGGGAAATAGCTTATAAAATAGCTTCTTTATTGAATTTAAGAAGGTAATATATATATATATATATTATATTATATATATATATATATATATAATATATATATATATATAGATATAATATATATATATATATATATATATATATATATATATATATAATATATTATATATATATATAACGTAGTCATTAAATTCATGTTGGCCACGCCTCCAAACATTGAATCAACATTAACAGCCATCTTGTTCTCCTCGGTGCTTCTCTGTTTGCAGTGGAGGATGATTGTATATGATTTGTCAGTTCTGCAGTGAAGAACTGGTGCCCTCTGTTGCTTATTGTCTTCTGAGCAGAAAGGCACAGGAATCAGGAGCACGATGTCCTGTGGCTGATACAGCGGCCAACTGAGATGCTGCAGTGTGTGAGAGCCACGCCTGTCCCGTTGTATATATATATATATATATATATATATAATATATATATATATATAATATATTATATATATATATATTATATATATATATTATATATATACAGTGATTAAGTTTACAGTGATAACTTAATCATTGTCACTGTATAACGATGATTAAGTAGGGCCCGCACCTTGGTTCAAGCCCAGGGGCCCACACCCTCCTAAGTCCGGCCCTGGTGATAGGAATCATTTAGTTCTGTTGCTAGCAACTAATATATTTCTCAGTTTTTGAACGTTAAATAAACTGAGAAAAAAGCATATATTGCATCATTTTCAGTGTTGGTGAGTGAACGTGTAATAGACTTTTAAACCATATTTCTCACAATGCACTGGCACAGAAGTCCTATTCCTCTCTGTGGTTTGAAAGGAGTTGGAGGCCGTGGTGACGCGTTCAGGTCCCAGAGCTGGACTGGAATTCTCAGCAGCATACTCTCCGTCTCTATGGCAACACTTGAAAAGCCTGCGTGTCGGCCAGTTCAGGAGGAGTTTGTTTGTCACAGCAGAACCGGAGCGCTCCGGCCTCAACTCCCTGCACAGTGGCAGAGGAGGAAAAGCAGAGAAGTTGTGGAGCAAGTTTTCATCCAGGTAGGACAAAACAAAGTTGATGTTCTCAGACTGTGAGAGTTGAACTAAAAATAGCCGAGTCGTGTTTAGTTTAACCCACTGGTATCCCACAGACATCCTTCAGACTGGACCATGTTCTCCCTGTCAGAACTGGCGCCTGTGGATCAGCATCAGAACACATGGAAGCTGCTGAAACCCTGGTGGGAGGTCTTCATGGACTACCTGGTGGTCCTGATGCTGATGACGTCCGTCCTGGCTTGTACTGTGCAGCTGTCCAGGGACAGGGTGGTGTGCATTCCTTCTTTACCACCTTTCAACGCAAGCGACGGCGTTCACCATCCACCCGTTAGCAACGATGCAGTCCTCGCGTCTTCTAAAGCCCGTCTGCGTGTTCCTCACAGCGTCGGCCCAAATCTCCAGGCACCAGCACAGGGACGCCGCACACATCTGGTCTACCAGCAGTACATTTATGTTAGCCAGGTATTGTTATTTACCTGTGGGCTATATATGATTGTAAGGATAAAATACTGAAGTAAAGGGTTGTTTTGGGATGCTATGTTCACTGAGTTACCAACATAAAATGTATTGGATTCCACCTTTCCTGGAAAACCCAAATGATAGTGGTCTAAATCATATTGAATAGCAATTACAAGAACGGAATCTCAAAACCTTCAGGTATGTTTGTGTTAGGGTAAACACCTGTTAAACATACATTAACAAAGACAGAAAAGACAAAAGAGTTAGATTCTTTTTCACTCGCGAGGAGAACAGACAGAGATGTGCTTCAGTTACAATCTCCTACCGCTCTGAAGCATATTTGTCTGCTCCTCTATTTTATTGTTTCTAGGATCCCTAATCACAAGGACGCTGTAGCTCTAAAGGGAGGGGGAACAACTCATCAAACAACTACAGCGTCAAATGTTATTCACTAACTAACACACAATCATTCTGCACTAGATAATCTCCTTCCAGGCACAAAGATTAATAAAATATGTAGTGATCAATGATGGTTTTATTGGAGGCCAGCAACTCAACCGAAGCAGAGCTCTTCACCAAGAGGTAAACCTGCAGAAAGATTTTGTTTCTGCTCTCTGTCAGTGAGGCCTTCTGAGAAAGGAATCAGAGTAAATTAACAATACAAGAAACATTCTTAATTCTATAATGAGATTAACTTAAAGGAAAGCATAAAATAAAGATACATTATAAAGATCAATGAAATAACAAATAATTGATTAATAATATCACAATTTCTCCAACATTTCCCCCCTGTTTATCAAATATTTGTTCTAATTCTCATATCATTCCTAAACAGCCACTACAAACAATTTTCAACTAGGAGTTCATTTTTTAAGAAAGCAAACATGTTTACACTCAAGGTTTATACTCAGTCCAAAACTTAGAATCAGGATACACATCAAAAGAGTCCTCATCAGAGCTTTCTCTGTCAGACTCAGGATCTTTTACTAGTAAAGGATACATCGGCGTCATCTGGTTCCCCATGGGCTAAATTGCTGTAGTGATGAGACGATTAAACAAAGAACGCAGGCAAGAAAAACAACAGCATCCACACAAGGTTAGAATGGCAGCAAAGACTGCCATCGACACTAAAGCAGAGGACACAAGGGTTCGGTTCTTTCCAAAAACATTCAACCAGTCGTCCCACCTGGAAGTATTCACTCCAGAGAACTCCTTCAGCTTACCATTAAGGGTACGGAGCCCCTCAATGGCCTTCGTCAGGCTGCCATCAGCCGCTGTGTTGTTGGGTAGAAAAGTGCAGCATCTTTCACCAAAGATTGCACACACTCCCCCTCGTTCAGCCAGCACCATGTCAAGTGCAATGTGGTTCTGGAAAGCCATCAGTGATGTAGCGGCCAGCTGCTCATGCACCGCCTCGAAGCCTGCTTGTGTCCAGTTGCCCAGTTTTTGTACATTGAAATGGGATGTAGTTGATTCTGTCAACGTTTTTGTTTAATGTGCACCACCAACAAATTGTGGACTCAAATCCTGCTGCAATTTGGTCGGCCAATTTATACTCATCTGGTACACCACGGGGAACACTAATGGCATCGATGTATGTAGGATCATTGTTCCTCCAGGTCAGGTCTCGTTTCTGCAACTGACGTCACTGCTGAGGCACAACATCAGTTAAAGCATGAATTAGATGATCAGCAGTCATTGGATAAACAGAAACAGGCAATAATAAAGAAATTAATGCAGACATCCCTGTTACCTTCCTAGGTAATCTATTAAAAGTTTTGTCACCACTGCACCACCACCAGACATCTGCACGAAAGACAGGGTTAAATTCATTGTTCACAGAGAGAACAGTCCGGTGTTAAAACATCATTTGTCATACATCAAGTTTAATCTCTGTAGTTTGCCGACGTCATACTTGCCCAGGAGACTAAAACAATGATAACAGAACTAGGTGGAAAACACACCTGAATACTCATCCTCATTCTGTAAACAGTGTTACAAGAAATACATTTTTATTCGTGACGTGAATTGTTCCCAGATGAAAACACAAAATAAAAACAAAAAGATATATTCACTTGTTATTTTCATTAATGTGCAAGTCCGTTCTGCTCCTAAAGACACTACAGGGTTGTGGACAATCTTCACCAGTTTTGAGACGGAAAAACTATTTGGTTTAACCCCCTTTGTAACCTGGACTTTCCCCTGTAGGTTGGTGAGCGTCTTGAGCTTGCTTCCCAATTACTTTTGAAATTAAATTCCTTTTTGCAGTGTGTTAAATGTATCCAAGTTGGCTTTTCCGCTGCATCTGGGTTTTTAGTGAAATGTTCAAACCATTTAGAAAAGCATCAATTATTTCTAAACAATACTTTTGTCCTTCACTTTTATTCAATTCTATGAAGTCCATGTGCATTACTTGAAATGGATATTGCAGAGTAGGAAACTTTCCTCTAAGTGATCTTAGATTGCCCTAAGAGTTATGTTTTGCACATATCAAACAGGTCCTACAGAATTTTTTTTTAAATAGAAATAAATCCATAAGTAGTGTAATGTTGATGTATCCTACCATCCCCCTGTTGAGACATGCGAAACGCCATGGCTCAATATTGCAGCCCATTTATACACATCTTTTTCTTGGTAAAATAGGTTCAGTTTCATATAATTTTCCAATTTTGCTCCATTTTTTTTTATCCATAAATCCTTTTCATTTTGAGGACTTAATTGTTGCATGTCTCTTAAAGTTTCTTTCATAAATTTAATTTTTTACATCCACATGTAATACATTTATCTCTCCCTCAGCTGCTTTTTTTTATTTTTTTATTTTGTCTTCGAAAGCATTCCCTAGGGACACCTTATCTGTCCCTGCAGTGTGCGCCGCACATTTACAGATTGCTAGTTGTTTTGGTAGGTGCACGACTTGTAATAATTCTTTTAATAATTCTGCATGTTACTTTTGATGTTAATGGGTGAAAAAGAACTATAGGAGCTCTAACTTCTACTGCCATAGAAGCAGCAACTACAGCTCTCACACAATGTGGTAAGGCACACGCTACACTATCAAGTTTTGAAGAAAAATATGCTATTGGTCTCATTTTATCACCATGCTGTTAGACTAGCACCGAGGTCATGACATGACCTTTACAATCCACCATCTGAACAAAGGTTTTTTTTATTGATAATCTGGTAACGCTAAACGCAGCGCTTGACACGAGGGCCTGTTTAGTTTCCAAAGTGCTTCTTCTGCTTCATCTGCCCACAACAAAGAAGAAGACATTTTAAAATCTTTTTTATACGTTAATTTATTCAGAGCTGCCACAATTTCTGCATAATTAGGCACCCAGTTTCGACAATAGTTAGTCAACCCCAAAAAGGACATCATCTGTTTTTTTTTGTTTGTGGTTTTGTATGGTTTGGGAGCTTGGAGAATTGTTGTTTTTCTATCCTCCACTAAGGTTCATCCTCCTTCACTCAAATTATGACCCAAATATTTTACTTGTCGTTTACACAGTTAAAGTTTATTTTGTTAACCTTATGACCTTCTTTAGCTAAATGTTACAGAAGCGCTAAAGTGTTTTGCTTACAGGTTTCCCTGTCTGGAGAGGCCAATAAAACATCAACTAAACTAAAACTTGGCTCCCTCCTGGGGGTTGAAAAGTTTACATACTTGCACTCATTACTTGAAAGAAAATTGTAGGGCTTTCACAGTAGCCTTGAAGTAGTCTGGTGTATGTGTATCTTTTCCCTTCAAAAGTAAAAGCAAACCAAAATTGGCTCTCTTTCTCAATTGGTATTGAGAAAAAGGCATTTACTGATGTCTACAACCGTGAATACTTTTGCATCTGATCTAAGAGAATTCAACAATGTGTGGATCAGGCACATGTTTTGTGTCTGTGTACAGATAGGTCACAGTTATCTTGGCTGGGGTGACCTTGTTGAGTCTCGCTTCATAGTTCCTATCAGGCCCAGGAACTGTTTTGAACCAAAGTGTGACATGCAAATCATCAGGAGACTTTTGATCCTGTAGGGCAGAAATGGCTTTATGCCCCTCTGCCAGAAGTGTTTGTGCAGTGTTGTGTGGGGGTTTGTTGGGCACATCCAATGAATAAAAGTAATACAGTTCCCTGTGTCCCTGGACAACAAAGAAGTCCCCTTCTTTTATTCCTGTAGCTGATCTTGACATTTTCACCACAAATATTTTACCCAAGAATGTTTTCTCTACATGTTGTTCTACATGCACCCGTGTCACAGAGGAAATTTACAGGTTTGCCATTTATTAGGAGAGTTATTTCAGGTCTTATGCTGTCCATAGAAAGTAAATCCTGAAGATTTAACTGGACCTCTTCACTCCCCAATTTCTCTGATCTTAATCATGCTGACTGTCCTGTGTTTTTTTTGTTTTCTTTTCTTGGGCAATTTCTGGCTAAATGTCCTTCCTGCCCGCAACACCAGCATCCTGAGTAACTGTGCCTGTAGTTTCCTCTCCCACGTCTCCCTTTTAAACCTCTAAGGTTCTGACCTCTGACCCTAAAGCTTTCTCTTCCTCTCCTCTCCTCATAAAACACTTGTTCCTCATCCTGGAAAAAGGCTCCTGGAACCTTTTCCTTTTCTTTTGTAATTTCTTTCTCCCCACTTTCTCGTTTTTGCGCTACTTCTAACCAAAATTGTACATCATCATACCCTTCCTTGTACAATTTTTATTTGAATTTGTTTTTTTGTTTTATTTTATCCTGATCTTTAATAACTTTCCAGTCGTTTGATTTTAGACTGTCTGTTGGCTTAGTTTTACTTATTCATTTCCCCATTTTTTTTTTGTAAAAATTTGGACCAGTTTTGCCGACTCCTAGGGAGTCCTAGAAACTGGAGATCTGATTCAGTAGGCCAGCAATTGAAAAGACCTGTTGTGGTAACTCTCACTTCAACTCTTTCGAGTGGAGAGTTCTTGCCTGTGCATCCACAAGAGGTTTGCTGCTTACAATCCTACTGTTTTACATGAGATAAAATACCAAGTGGTATTTATACCTCCAATCACACTCACATACACACTTTTTTTTTTTTATCACGGAATTTAAGCGCCTGTTATCGCCGGACTCCACCGTCCGTTTAAACACGGGTATTCGTCGGGCCCCGTTGCCCACAACAGGTGGGGTTCGTAAGATCTCAAACCACGTGAGGTTGCAAAACCCCGAACCAGGTGAGGTTTGCAAGTCCTCGTCCCAGTAGGGTTTTACAAGACCTCCAGCGAGGTAAGGTTTACCAACCCTTATTTTCTAGTTTATTTTATTTTTTTTTTATCTCTTAAATACTGATACGGAACTTAAGCGCCTGTTTTCGCCGGACTCCGCAATCCGTTTAGCCTGCAGGTACTAGTTGAGCTACTGTTACTGCTCACAATAGTACAATTAGTAATTGGGCTGCTGTTACTGCCCAAAACAGTGCAGGTATTTTGTTGGGCTACTGTTACTACCCACAATAGTACAATTGTTATTTGAGTTGCTGTTATTACCCAGAACAGTGCTGGTATTAGTTATTTGAGCTGCTATTACCCAGAACATTTCTAGTATTAGTTGGGCTGCTATCATTGCCCACAATAGTACAATTGTTGGTTCCCCAGAACAGGACAAGGCCTCCAGCCTTGAAGCACCAGGCTCCGTTAGCCTATCCACGGATTTTGTGCATTACTTTTACCTGTTAGAGTCTAGAATTGACAGGGTTTTCACTTGTGCGCGCAACAACCTTCAGTCAAAGAAGAAGTCACTCTTCTCTCACACAGAAGAATGACTTACTCTCTAAAACGTCATTCGCCACTTTTTAAAGAAGAATCACTCACCCTCTCTTGTCTTTCCCTGGAGTGTCGTCAACCTTCAGATCCCAGCAGGCAGGCCGAGTCCAGTCCTTTAACAGGTTCTCTTGCCGTGCGCACGGTCTTACTGGGGTCCGCCACACCTGCCGGAATCTTTCCAGTATATGACCTCCGGCTCGAAGGACCAAAAATGTTAGGGTAAACACCTGTTAAACATACATTAACAAAGACAGAAAAGACAAAAGAGTTAGATTCTTTTTCACTCGCGAGGAGAACAGACAGAGATGTGCTTCAGTTACAATCTCCTACCGCTCTGAAGCACATTTTGTCTGCTCCTCTATTTTATTGTTTCTAGGATCCCTAATCACAAGGACGCTGTAGCTCTAAAGGGAGGGGGAACAACTCATCAAACAACTACAGCGTCAAATGTTATTCACTAACTAACACACAATCATTCTGCACTAGATAATCTCCTTCCAGGCACAAAGATTAATAAAATATGTAGTGATCAATGATGGTTTTATTGGAGGCCAGCAACTCAACCGAAGCAGAGCTCTTCACCAAGAGGTAAACCTGCAGAAAGATTTTGTTTCTGCTCTCTGTCAGTGAGGCCTTCTGAGAAAGGAATCAGAGTAAATTAACAATACAAGAAACATTCTTAATTCTATAATGAGATTAACTTAAAGGAAAGCATAAAATAAAGATACATTATAAAGATCAATGAGAATAACAAATAATTGATTAATAATATCACAATTTCTCCAACAGTTTGCATAAGTATCAGGACTATCTTAATGTAGTTCCTTAATCATCCTGAAATTCATACTTCATGCCTGTAACCAGCAGTTAGCAACTTGAGCTACTGAAGCAGCAAAACATGATTATGGAAAAGACTTTGATTATCCACTGCTTTCTCCATCCTCATTTATAGGTCCTTAAACCTTTGTCTAGGAAAAACCATCCCCTTCATCTACACTTTGCGTTGTCCAGAGGGCCTGACCTCTTGGCTATTGACAAACTGATTGCTTCCTGGAGGTGTGAGCTTTGTTGAAGTTGCTAACTTTTAGCTAAAGTGCCATTTACACTTTATGAAGCTTACTGGAAGTTGGCTGCGCTCCAAACAATCATCCTCCACTGCAAACAGAGAAGCACCGAGGAGAACAAGATGGCTGTTAATGTTGATTCAATGTTTGGAGGCGTGGCCAACATGAATTTAACGACTACGTTAACTTCATTCAATACCATACAAGCAGATCACAATACAACATGACATCATTCGTAACTTCTCCTGCTGTTTGCTGATGAGCCCAAATTCTACCTTAGAAATCCACTTTAATGAGAGAAAGTCCAGATGGCGTATGGAAGGGAGATGAGAATTGCACAGAAAGGCAATGTCCAGAAATAATTATAACCTGGAAAGTATTATTTTCTAAAACTGTGGTTCATATGGCAAAGCTGTAGCCATTAATGTACCTCACCTGATGGAAATGTTTTGTCCGTCTAGGTGTGCTACCACCAAGCTCTACCCTTCTGTTCACGCTTCTTTCCCTACATGGCCCTGCTGCAGTCTCTGCTACTGGTCGCTAGCGGCTCCTTCTGGCTGCACTTCCCTCACACCTCTTCCCGCATAGAACAATTCCTGTCCATTTTGGCAAAATGCTGCGAGTCCCCCTGGACGTCCCAGGCCCTGTCCCAAGCTGCACGCCAGGAAAACATCCGAGATCTGGAGAGACGGCCCCGCCACGCCGCCGCGTCCGCAGCCTGTTTTCCGATTGCGCTGGCCCGTACGGGCCACTCGAGCATAGACTCTGGTACAGACAGCCCGCTTCTGAAGAAGACGGCCTACCCGCCCTCTCCTTCCCCTTCCACGGTCTCCTCCAACTCCACCATGTCATCTGTGTCGCTTGGCTCTGAGGCGCACTTGTGTTCTTCCGTGCCTTCAGTGACCAGTGAACGCCCCGGGCAGGTCTTGAGTCTGGATAAAAGTGATGGAGAACAGGCCAGGGCCCTGTTTGAAAGAGTCAGGAAGTTCCGGTCTCACTGCGAAAGCTCCACTGTCATTTATAAGGTACAGGAAACTGCATATCTGTAGTCTGTTGTTTGGAAAACTTTGTAAGTTCTGGGAACCTTCCAGTCAGGTATGTTGCTCTAAAACTGCAGTATGTAACTTCTACAAAATTACGTGTTTTTTTTTTTTTTTTGTTAAAAATCTCACCATGTCGTGACAGTATTGTCTTGAGACAGAAAAATCGAACTCCTCTGTTTTCTCCCAGTGCTAACTAGAAACAACCAATCAGAGCCAGGAGGCGAGTCTTAGCGCTATCGCTGCCATAAATGCTAAAGCTTGTTGGAATGGCCACCCATGACGGGGGATAAAAGGTTTCTCCATAATGATAAGTTGGTTTTCTGCCGTTAGCACATTTAGCAGCGTGTTCACACGACAGATGGACAGCAGTAAGCCCCTCCTCCTGGCTCTGATTGGTTACTTCTTGTAGGGAGCCATGCATTTCTTGAGATGGAGATTGTAGCTCGGGGCGGAGTTTTTCACAAACTATCTGTCTCATTATATAATTACATGGAGAAATTTTAACAAATATTCAAAAAACATACATATACATTTAAATAAAAGTCACATACGGCACCTTTAACCAACATACCAATAAGGATGTATGTTATCAATTTTACATTTACAAGTCTTGCTGTCTTTCCAGGTTTACTTGACTCAGACAATATTTAAGCTGCTGATGGTAACGCTGATCATGAGCTACACCGTCCCCTTCCTCGGCTCCCTCTCCTTCAGCCACGTCTGTCAGCCTGCAGAGCGAACGCTACTGGGCTACACAACCTTCGAATGTGTCCACTCGCTCTCATCCCTCCTACGCAAGCTTCTTGTGACCTACCTAACCCTTCTAGGGATTTATGCGCTTCTTGATTTTTACGCCCTCAGCTGGAGTTTTCGCAGGTTAGGACTTCCGTCGAGCGGACGGCCATTTTATAGACGCCCTCGTTTAGCTTCAGCCCTGACAATGAAAGGAAGGTTCCTGGTACCTCATAGTCCCGGTTTGGCCTTTTATCCCCAGCTCAATGATGTTTCAAAAATGGTTTGACTTGATGTTCAGTCATTTATATGACATTTATGGAACCAACAGAGTGTCTTCAGACAGAGGCTTCTTCAGAGTTGCTGTGACACTGACTGCTACAGGAGACTCTTCCTGCCCGCAGCCATCTGCATATACAACTCAGAAGAAATTTTGATAAAAAATAGCATTTAATTTCCTTTTGAATTTAATAAAATATTCCTGAATTGAATTGAAGTTAAACTCAGTTCAAAAATATGTTCTCATAGGAAAATTATAGTGCAAAGTAACTCAGATTATTGTTAATAGACGGGGCAAAAATAATCTCATGAACATGTTTTTTTTTTTTTCAAATTTTTCTTCTATTTTTCTTGAAAGCAAAGTACAGAAAACCTTTTGCACATTACAAAAAGAATATAAAACATGTAGTTGCATACATCTACATATGTTTACATAAAATTACACAATAAATAAAACCAAAAGAAGCAACAAAAAAAAAAGAGCAGAAAAAAAACAAAATAAAAAATATGTAGCTGTGTCAAAGAAGTCTCTGACTTTTACACTTTTGGTGCATTTCTGTGTTTTAAAGAGAATGCTCAGAATATCAATGAAGCATTTCTCTGTGTTACTTAGTTGTTGTTTTTTTTTTTTTAGATGTGTTGTACCTTATGATCTATTTTACATCTCTCTTTCCATTGGAATTATTTTCTTGTTTCATTACCTCTCCTTAGCTGTCTTCGAAGGTATTCCTTCCACTCCCTGAAGGACATTCCCGATCTGATGAATGACCTGGCCTTCCTCATCCACATGCTGGAGCAGTACGACCCGCTGCTGGTGCAGCGCCTCTCCGTGTTCCTGTCGCCGGTCAGCGAGAGCAGACTGCTGGAGCAGAGCCTGGAGAGGCACTGGGGAGAAGAGAAGCTCCAGGCTCTGAGCAGCGTGGACGCGGAGGGCTGCAGCACCCTGCAGCTCGTCGCCCTGCCTCGACTCCCTCCGGCTCTGTTCACCCTCAGCCAGCTGCACGCCCTCAAACTGGAGCTCATCGCTGACGCCAGGTTCACTTCGCAGGTGGCAAACATGACTTCACTCAGGTGAGATGTACAGGACATCAGACACACGTCCTTTACCCTGGGGAAGAGAATCGGGTCCATTGAAAAAAGTCCAAACTTTATTTGGATGATTTTTCTCAGAATTCTGAGACTAAAAATCAGAATTTTGAGAAAAACTGCAGAATTCTGACAAGAAAAAATAGAAATTCTGATTAAAGTGAGTTTTTTTTCCAGTGGCCCTGATCAACTTCCATATGTCCCATAATCCCTTGCTTTGATTCCCACACACACACACAGGGAGCTCCACCTTTACCACTGCTCCGCGGCTGTGGATCCTGGTGCGCTCGCAGTCCTCCAGGAACGCCTCGAGGTTCTCTACATCACCTTCGCTCAGGCGTCACAGATCCCCAGTTGGGTCCTCTCCCTCCGCAACCTGCATGAGCTCCACCTTTCGGGTCGCTTGGGCAGCGAGGGCGGCGTGAGTCACGGCTGGGCCCTGGGGAGCCTGCGGCAGCTCCGTCACCTCCGCGTTCTGGTGATCCATGGGATGCTGCACAGGGTTCCGTCAGAGCTGTGCGAGGTGGCAGGAAGCTTGGTGAAGCTGGAGATACACAACGAAGGCACAAGGCTGCTTGTGCTGACGGGACTCAAGCGAATGGCGGACCTGACAGAACTCCGGCTGCAGGACTGCCAACTGGACCGCCTGCCCTCAGCCCTGCTCGCACTGACTCGCCTCCGGACGCTCGACTTGCAGCACAACAACTTGAGAACCCTAGAGGAACTGCTCAGTCTGGTCCACCTGCAGCGTCTTTCATGCCTCAAACTCGCCTACAATCGTGTGTTGGCGCTGCCGCCCACCGTCGGCGTCCTTCGAGGCTTGGAGCTTTTGGATCTGTCCAACAACCAGTTGAAGAGTCTGCCCTCGGCGCTCTTCACACTCCACCGGCTTCGTCGGCTGCTGCTCGCTGGCAACCTGTTGCCTGAGCTGCCCTCTGAGGTCAAGGCGTTGAGGCTGCTGGCAGAACTAGACCTGAGTGGAAACAGGTTAGAGAGCCTAACCTCTGACCTCTTCAGCTGCTCGGAGCTCCGCGTCCTAAACGTGTCTCGCAACTCGATCGGCTCACTGCCTGGGGGAATCTCAGCGTTGAGCCAACTGTCCAGGTTGGATTTGCGCAGCAACAGTCTGGAAGAGCTGCCTGCTGAGCTGGGCTGCTGTTTGGGGCTCTGTGGAGGTGGGCTGCTGGTAGAGAGGTGGCTCTTCCTCTCCTTGCCTCCACACGTCAGGGACTTCCTGAGCCGTCCTTACGCCACCAACGAGGGACACTTTGAGGATCAGTCCAGGCCGGAGTCGGACACTTTCCCGTACTCTCCCACTCAGTGGAGCTTCTCTTCAGCTCTCGAGTCACAGATATAAGGTTTAAAGATGACTGTGTCCCGACACCTAAATTTACCATTTTAACTAAACCTAGTATACTTCTGCACTATGTAACTTTTATGAAAAATATTAAATAATTTTCTTTTTTTTTTTTTTTTTTGCCCAAAAACAACCAATCAGAACCAGGAGGAGGGTCTTGGTGCTGTCAATCAGCTTTATGTACCCGCTGCTAAATGTGCTAATGGCAAAGAAACAACTTATTGTTCCAGGAAAACCGTTCATCCGTCGTCATCAGTAACCATGGTAATCAGCAGAGAGAAAATGGGGCGTTAGAAGGGGGAGGCGTGAGCAGCACCACAAGGAAGCTGATTGACAGCTATAAAGAAAACCAATCCTGGCTCTGATTGTTTTTTTGTCTAGTTAGCACTGGGAGGAGGCAGAGGAGCTACTGTACCTTTACAGTAGGTCAAATCAACCTACTTTGCTTAATTTGACATTTTTGACAAGAGTAAAAGAAGACTTAGAGCGATGCATTAAAATTGTTTTTAAGAAACATGCATATTACATATTTAAAACTGGCCAGTTGTAAAGCTAACCCCAAGATGAACTTGTCTGTTTAATGCTATATGGATTAATAGCAGCACCAAGGAGATAAAACTGGAGCTATGTGCGTAAGAAACTTCTGAAAAAAAAGATCACAATGTGTATTTTTGTCTTTTCAACTCAGTTCACATTTGCTTAAATATCTTTATTGTCAACAGTGCACAAAAAATATTTACACCTACTGGTCACTTTTACTAGGAAACATCTCAGTTTGGTACATCTAAGGATGACCAAAACAAACATAATAAGAAATAAAAGTATAAGTACATATTTAGTTTTTCTTGTCCTTACACATGAGTTCCTGTCAAGAAATGTTTACATTTTCTTTTTTATTTCGCCTAAACATGTCAAGAAAAGTAGATATTTTGTTTGGTCTTTTCCTTATATAAGCCCTCCATCTTTTGCCTTCTATGTCCAGCTCCTCCACTATTGGCCAATAGAGCTTCGGAACCAACATCACGGCGTAAGACATTTACGTCTTGTGCAGTGAAGAAGTTTCCTGATGTTGACCTTCGTCCCTTAACTTCAACTAATTCACTGAAATGTTACCCAGACATTTCAGTGAATGCTTGGGTAACATTTCATAACCAATGAAACAAACTGGAAGAGCTGGAAGCTGAACCAGTTGGTGGATCATGTCAGTCAAGTCCAAGTAGCCAACACCGATTGTTTTAAACCTCCTTTAAAGCTTCACAGCTTTAAAGGAGGCCGTGATGGTGAGATCCACTTTGAGGATTTTTTTTTCTTCGACCTGCTGCTTCTTGTTCAGTTGCTGTGAACCTGAGTGACAAACAGAAAGTGAGCAGAGAGAGACGGCGCCAGTCAGGACGAGCAACCTGGGGACACGAGAGAGACAGAAGAGTTTGCTGAAATATTTTTTAAATAATTGAGAAATATAGAAATAAAAAAAACAGACTATTATAAAATGCTAAAGCTACACAGTGGTCAACATCATTCTGCAGCTACTGATGTCACTGACATCATTCAATGTGAAATTATCATGGACCCATGTTTCCTCTGTGACATCACAGGTGACAGCAGCACCTGTGAGTCAGTCAAGTAAACATTGACCTGTTTACATTGACAATGTAAGCAAGTCAATGTTTACTTACATTGACATTCAGTACGTTAAATATTGATAATAAATATGCAATAAATATGAAATGATGTAAAATGTTTACTTTAGGTACAAGGCTAATGTTAGCAGGATGGCTAATATTAGCTTATTGAGTCACTAGCATGTTGATACTATTTGCATCACTTAAGCTAAACTTAGCATTTTGGATCATTTTAATGTATTCACTATTGTTAGCATGCTGAATTGTGTTAGTTCACTAATCTAATTTTGTTTGTCAACATGCTAGCGGTAACCCTTATCCTACTGGTAGTTCCAATAGACTAGTGACTCAATATGCTAATGATAGCCATCATGCTTGCATTAGCTTTATTCTTAATATAAGCATTTTACATAATTTCATATTTATTAGCAATATTTATCATACTGAATGGATTAAGTCAATGCTAATTAATGTGGACACACTGCACCCCAGCTCTTTGGCCCCTCCTACAGGTGGTGAGCCCATTGGAAGGGGGACTCATGTTCCCTTCCAATGGGCTCACCTCCAGGCCTGGCTCCAGAGTGGGGCCCCGGTGGCCCGCGTCCGGGCGACGGAACACTAAGAACATTGTCAGAATTCATAATAAGGGGTTTTAAGGCTGCGCTTAGTCTGGTTCCTCACCTAGAATCTCTCTACCAGGGGCATAAAGCCCCAGATAGCACGGCTCCTGGGATCATTGGGACACTCAAACCCCTCCACCACGTTAAGGTGGCAGCCCATGGAGAGGACCTAACTAACCTATCTAACTAACTAACAAATAAAAAAAACTAAGAACTAAATAAGCAAGTTTAAATGATGTACAATGGATATAAAAACCCCTGTTCAAATGCCAGGTTTTTGTGATGTAAACACATGACAAGACAAACATTTTCACAACTTTGTCCTCCTTTAGCGTGACCTTTAACCTGTACAATGCTATTGAAAAACAAACAGAAACCTTTAAAGCATAAAAATATTCAGTGAAAATCTTACAATAACCTGGTTGGCTAAATATGCAGCACCTTTGGCTTTCACAACAGCACTCAGTCTTTTTGGATAGGACTCTATCAGCGTGGCACATCTTGATGTGGGAATATTTGCCCACTCTTCTTTGCAAAACCGCACCAAATCCGACAGATTGCGAGGGCATCTCTTGTGCATAGCCCTCTTCTGATCACCTCATAAATGTTTGGTGGGATTGAAGTCTGGACTCTGGCTGGGCCATTCCAAAGCTTTTATCTCACTCCATTTTTTGATTTAGATGTGAGCTTTGGGTCATTGTCAAGCCGAAAGATGAAGTTCCTCCTCGTCCCCAGCTTTCTAACAGAAGCCCGATGGTTTTGTGCCAACACTGACTGATAATTGGATCTGTTGATGATTCCGTCCACCCTGGCCAAGGCCCCAGTTCCAGCTGAAGCAAAACAGCCCCAAAGCATGATGATACCTCCACTATGCTTCACTGTAAGTATGGTGCTCTTTTGTAGGTATGAGCACTGTTGTTTTTGCACCAAAGTCAACTTTTGGAAATTTGTGCAAAAAGTTCAACTTTGGTTGACCGCAACACATTTTCCCACATATGTTTGGGAGATTTCAGATGTGTCTTTGCAAAATGAAGCTGGGCTTTGGTGTTTTTCTTTGAAAGATAAGGCTTCTGTCTTGCCGCCCTTTCCTTCAGCCCACACATATGAAGAAGATGGGAGGTTGTTTTCACGTGTACTGCACAGCCAGTACTTGCCAGAAATTCTTGGAGCTCCTTCAGCGTTGTCGTCAGCCTCTTCTTGTCTTTTTCTTGTCAAGTTTGGACGGATGTCCTGTTCTTGGTGATGTTACTGTTGTACCATGGTTTCTCCACTTGATGGTGACAGTCTTCACAGTGTCCCATGGTATATTTAATGAACTGGAAATCCTTTTGTAGCCTCTGAAATCAGCCACACTCCCAGTTCTAAAAGGTGTGCACACTTATGCAACCACAATACCTCAGTTGTTCATTTTCACTGCAGCTCCTTGGAAAATTTCTGTTTGTTTTTCAATTTCATTGCGAAAATGCTTGTCTTGCTGATATAAAACCTGGCATTTGAACAGGGGTGTAGACTTTTTATAACCATTGTAACTCTAATCAAACAATTAAAAAACGATCTACTAGCAAACAATTAAAAACGACCTAACTACTAAGCAAACAATTAAAAACCGAACTAACAACTAAGCGAACAAGTAAAAAACGACCTAACAACTAAGCGAACAAGTAAAAAACGATCTAACAACTAAGCGAACAAGTAAAAAACGACCTAACAACTAAGCGAACAAGTAAAAAACGAGCTAACAACTAAGCGAACAAGTAAAAAACGAGCTAACAACTAAGCGAACGAGTAAAAAACGACCTAACTAGTAAGCAAACAATTAAAAACGAGCAAATGCTAAGCGAACAAGTAAAAAAATCCCTAACTATCTAACTAACAACTAATTAAAAATTCACCCCACTACTTCAATCGATGCTCCACAGGCGTAACCTCATCAAACCTGGAGACTCAAAATCCTCTCCCAGCGAGGTCTTCGCGTTAACGAAGGCCTCCCTGGGTAAACCAAATTTTGACTCCAGTTCGACTCGATAGGCCTGAGAGTCTTTGGCTGATGGGATCTCTGGATAGGTGTCCAGATCTATGATGTCCGACACATCATCTGGAGGAAAGTCGGGCTCCAGAGGTGAGATGTCACACCTGGCGTCCACTTCCAAAGAAGAAATCAAGGCAGCCGTGGCCTTGGTCATGGTCTGAGAGGGTCCAGGGTTTTCTGGGAGGTTCACTGGAGCAACTCGTGATGAATGTCTCCGAGCGAACCTCCTGAAAAAACCCTGGAGCCTCTCATTCAGGCCTTTGAGCAAAGATCTCGGCTCGACCGGGCGGACGACTTTCTTGGATTTCTTGCCAGATTCATGCAATCGGACAAAAAGGTCTTTAACCATGCCTTTGACTTCATCGACCATATCGCTGATCAAGTCATCAACGTGATTGCTGCGTTTGTTCTCAGAGTCAGAGTCTAAGGTGGAATTGACTCTCTCGACCACATACCGGACAATGAGACGGTTTAAATTGTCCGTGCGTTCGGTGTGGAAATCTCCACCAACCTTGATGACCTTTGCAAAAGCTTCCGGCAACTTGTTGCCAACCATCTCTTCGATCTTGGAGTTGTCGATCGGAACACTCTCAAGAGCGTTCGCAACAAACAGCTCCAAGATCTCCTTCAATATCCCGACCAGAACGCAGGTAGTGGTGCGAGCGGGGTCCCCTGTTGCCAGACGCAGGTACTCCATCCAGGTCAAGTTGATGAACAGACGGTGCACCAGCCCCCTGAGGACGTTGACCGTGACGCGCTGGGTCTCAACAATTGGAGAACTCATTCTGCTTGCCAGGTTCGCTGGTTTGAAGAAAGGTTTGCTCTAACGGCGAGATGAACAAGAACTAATCCGGGCTCTGAGACAAACGAGGGCGAACAGAGGGCTCGAGAAGAATGCAGTGCAAATAAACACCCTGACATTTGTGACGTCATAGACATCAAACCCGCCGAATTCTATGTTCTCACGTAATAAGTGACGTTTCCCAGGCTTATGGGAAAAAGCTGTGTCCGAATGCCGGTTAGTGCGTGAATGTGTGAGTGAAAGGAAATGTTTGGATGAATGAATGGATAGGTTTACAAAAAAAAAAAAAAGTGTCCGAATGCCGGTCTGCATCCGGGTCCTCCGAAGACCGCGAATATCAAACGACCGGAAGAGAGGAGCTGTGAACGGCTCGAGCTTCAAGCTAGCAAACACAACCGGACAAGTGGAAGCCTGATACTGCTTTTATTCGCTTTATTTCACTTTAAAAATACTCGCAGGAAGCTGCGCGGTAGGATGAAAAGCAAACGTGTCATTTTGTTGTGTAACATTAAACGAGGAACGAGGCGGCAGCAAAGGACGGCAGCTGTCAAACCTAAGGATTGGCAGCCATTGGCGTGACAGCGAATTGTTTTCATCAGGTAGGAAGACGACCTCACCTTCTGCCCTTCACAATAAGAGTTTACATCCGGGTGCGAAATACATACATTATATACGCCACAATATACTGTTTTATTAAATGTACGAAATACTTTACCACTAAATGTCCTGGACATAAAAGGCAGCTCTCATTAACATAAGGAGGGTTTGTATAAGGAAAGGACAAAACAAAATATCTACTTTTCTTGACTCCTAAACGCACGTTTAGGGGTGTTAGGGAAAAATTACCATAATCTGTTAGTTATGTTATATGAAATGTTTGTGAACTCTCACCAAAAGAACTATTTGAGTTTTTTTGTACGAGGTTGGATGACATTTTGATAAAAATATTATATAATTTCCTTTTGAAATTAATAAAATATTTGTGAATTGAATTGAACTTAAATTCAGTTCAAAAATATATTCTCATAAGAAAATTAGATAAAGTGCAAAGTAACTCAGATTATTGTTAATAGCCGGGGCAGAAATAATCTCATGCAGATGTTTTTTTTTCTTCAAATTTTTCTTCTATTTTTCTTTAAAGCAAAGTACAGAAAACCTTTTGCACATTACAAAAAGAATATAAAACATGTAGTCGCATACATCTACATATGTTTATATAAAATTACACAATAAATAAAATCAAAAGAAGCAAAAAAAAGAGCAGAAGAAAAAACTACATAAAAAATATGTAGCTGTGTCAAAGAAGTCTCTGACTTTTACACTTTTGGTGCATTTCTGTGTTTTAAAGAGAATGCTCAGAATATCAATGAAGCATTTCTCTGTTACTTAGTTGTTGTTTTTTTTTTTTAGATGTGTTGTACCTTATGTTCTATTTTACATCTCTCTTTCCATTGGAATTATTTTCTTGTTTCATTACCTCTCCTTAGCTGTCTTCGAAGGTATTCCTTCCACTCCCTGAAGGACATTCCCGATCTGATGAATGACCTGGCCTTCCTCATCCACATGCTGGAGCAGAACGACCCGCTGCTGGTGCAGCGCCTCTCCGTGTTCCTGTCGCCGGTCAGCGAGAGCAGACTGCTGGAGCAGAGCCTGGAGAGGCACTGGGGAGAAGAGAAGCTCCAGGCTCTGAGCAGCGTGGACGCGGAGGGCTGCAGCACCCTGCAGCTCGTCGCCCTGCCTCGCCTCCCTCCGACTCTGTTCACCCTCAGCCAGCTGCACGCCCTCAAACTGGAGCTCATCGCTGACGCCAGGTTCACTTTGCAGGTGGCAAACATGACTTCACTCAGGTGAGATGTACAGGACATCAGACACACGTCCTTTACCCTGGGGAAGAGAATCGGGTACATTGAAAAAAGTCCAAACTTAATTTGGATGATTTTTCTCAGAATTCTGAGACTAAAATTCAAAATTTTGAGAAAAACTGCAGAATTCTGACAAGAAAACATAGAAATTCTGAGTTAAAGTGAGTTTTTTTTCCAGTGGCCCTGATCAACTTTCATACGTTCCATAATCCCCTTGCTTTGATTTCCACACACACACACACACACACACACACACACACACACACACACACACACACACACACACACACAGGGAGCTCCACCTTTACCACTGCCCGGCGGCTGTGGATCCTGGTGCGCTCGCAGTCCTCCAGGAACGCCTCGAGGTTCTCCACATCACCTTCGCTCAGGCGTCACAGATCCCCAGTTGGGTCCTCTCCCTCCACAACCTGCATGAGCTCCACCTTTCGGGTCGCTTGGGCTGCGAGGGCGGCGTGGGTCATGGCTGGGCCCTGGGGAGCCTGCGGCAGCTCCGTCACCTCCGCGTTCTGGTGATCCATGGGATGCTGCACAGGGTTCCGTCAGAGCTGTGCGAGGTGGCAGGAAGCTTGGTGAAGCTGGAGATACACAACGAAGGCACAAGGCTGCTTGTGCTGACGGGACTCAAGCGAATGGCGGACCTGACAGAACTCCGGCTGCAGGACTGCCAACTGGACCGCCTGCCCTCAGCCCTGCTCGCGCTGACTCGCCTCCGGACGCTCGACTTGCAGCACAACAACTTGAGAACCCTAGAGGAACTGCTCAGTCTGGTCCACCTGCAGCGTCTTTCATGCCTCAAACTCGCCTACAATCGTGTGTTGGTGCTGCCGCCCACCGTCGGCGTCCTTTGAGCCTTGGAGCTTTTGGATCTGTCCAACAACCAGTTGAAGAGTCTGCCCTCGGCGCTCTTCACGCTCCACCGGCTACGTTGGCTGCTGCTCGCTGGCAACCTGTTGCATGAGCTGCCCTCTGAGGTCAAGGCGTTGAGGATCCTGCTATCAAAGAGGAACAGCAAAGAGGGGAAAAGAAGAGATATGGGACAGGGTCAGCAGGTAGACAGAAATATGTAGTTCCCATGCCCGATGTGAAGGAAGATGATGTCAAACACTGTGCCTGGCTACAAAGTCTTGGGATTGTAGATGGAAATGCAAGGAACTCCATCTTCTCACACAACCTCCAGCAACCATCAGTGGCCAGATGCAGAGCAACAATGACCCCAGGAGGCCCAGAAAGAGCGACAGGTACTAGGAGGGACCGGTGGCCTCACTTCCTGCCCCCCATTCGCCAGGCAGAGCCTCATGTACAAGTACCTCTTCTGCTTCCCAAAAACTCCACACACCTATTGACTCATGCTTATGTGATACTGGATTCTCTCCCGGTTATCTGAAGACATTCCAAGTTCAGAGGAGATAAATAGTTCTCTATTCAAGAATTGGTAACAGACTTCATGATGTCCCAACCACCTGACTCCATTAAATGTGGACATGCAGTCTGTATCTGGGATCTCTCTCTTTCAGTCCTCATCTATCTCTCATGACCACAAGTGAAGATTGAAACATAAATAAAATGATGAATTAAGGGCTCTGCTTTTTGGTGCACTCTCGACCAGAGCAACGCCCGTATTTTTGCAAACAAGCTCCAGTCCGTTTATCCATCTCTTTGCCCTTTGTGCCAGGTTCATTTTCAACTTTTGTTTCCTTCATTGTGCTTTTCTCATGTAATTTGCCTGCTTCTCCAGCAGAGGATGCTGTCCACAGAGCAGAGTAGAGGTCCCTACTGTTGGATCTTGATCAAACTGTGGCAGCTGTGGCCTGTACAGAGAACCGCTGTGTGTCCCTGCTGAGGTGGGATCTGTGTGTCAGGACCAGAACACATGGGCCTCAGTCCTTCTCACCACACAAATCCCCCCCCCAGCACATGTTTACTCTCAGACTGTTTGTGACTGGGGCCTTTTTTCTTGCACAACCCCCCTTCCTTTCTGCCAAATAAACATTGCACCGGAAATTGCAGGGATATCTGGGATTTTTGAGGGTTCCCAATGGAAAGGAGGAGAGTGCCCTGGAACAAGGCTGCTCTCTGTGACACCTTGGAGGTGAGGCGAGGGAGAAGTAGCGGGCGTATGGGGGATCCAGATGGGGAGTGAGCCACCCTGGCTTGGTTGGTTATTGGGCACCATCACTAAGATGTATGCCCATTGACAAACTTCTGTAGGTGACCTGGTTTCCCTTGACCCCGTCCTAAAGGCCTACAGTGTCTTGGAAAAGTCTTGCAAAAATGTAGGCACATTATATGATGCTAGAGCAGCAGACTTGAAAGTATTTAACACATTCAATCACACAAATAATGCATGTATAAAATGAAAGGAAATTTTTTTTTCGACAGATAAAGTCTAAAAATGGTGGTGAACCTTGATATTTTGCGGTAAGCAGTAGTGGTTTTTGATACGGGCCATATTCCCATTAACAAGGGAATCACAAAGACCAGATTTTAAAAATACACATCTTATTATCGTTCAGTTTTGTTCTGAATGGGTCTTCTATTGTTTCCATATGTGTGCAGTCAATGAGAAATTGACAATCGGAGCTTTATCTGGAATTAGACTGTATTTCACCCCACACTACTGTGCCTCATTTTCACTGAATGGCATGGCATGAGTTGGTGTGCTCTGTAAGCTAGTTTCTCTTTTTCCGTTGTAAAAGTGACCCATGCAGCCCACCATTCTTGGGCTTCCTTCAGTTGTAGGTCCAATGGTATGGCACAGTTAGGGTCAGGGTGCAGCCACTGACCTCACTCAACACAGTCCCTTGAGTGTGATCACTGCTTGTGACAATCACACGACATAACTTTGAGTCATGTTTGTCGTCCCATTAGGCGTAACGCTGCCCGCCCAGTGACAGTCCAACTGGCAGCGGAAACCCTCTTCTGAATTCTCCGGACCATAAAAGAGCGCACCGAACCGCACTGACTTGTTCCTTACAGCTCAGTGGAAATGAGATGCTAGATATTTGCCTCCATTTCAATTGTTTTGGAGACAGAAGAAGAAAATTGTAAGAAAACAATCACTGTTCTTGACGCAATACTTGAGGCTGGCCTATGATTAGGGTTTCATGTTTTGTCAATTTGCTAAATAGCTCCATCTTCGTCAGATTGGACGGATATCATCTGTCAACATCAGTTTTCAGATGCCGACAGATTCTCAGTTGGATTTAGGTCTGGACTTCATCCGAGTGCCTCGAACATAAATTAACATTGATTTAACCCATTCCGTTGTAGCTCAGGCTGTATGTTCAGTGCTGTCCAACTATTTTAAGAATTTTAAAACCACGTGTAATTTTCTTTCCATTTCACAATCACACACTGGTATATCAGCGTGCCTCGAGCAGCTATAGATGATCAATCTCATTTCTTGGCTCTGCTCTCGTATTGCTGACATGTTTCTTGGTTGAGTGGGAAGGTGTGTGAGCTTGATTTATAATGAGCACTCCCTTGTGACTTTGTCCCGGTTCACAACCCCAATCTACCACCACGTCTTTAGTTGGTAATACCAGTCTGCAGGTAGAACATAAATCCTGCTGTTGAAGCGACTGTATTAAAAAGATTATTCCTCATAATGAATGTCTGCATCTACGTTTGTCTCGCCCGTTCTCTTCCCGCTGTGCCTCGTTCAAAACGCTTCTGTTTCTCTTTTTCTTTCTGGGAAATCATCACCGGCCTGTAATTTGCTTATTCTGTCTGTTCCTTATATGCTCCACATCTTCATTTCAGCCGGTTGGGTCAAATTCATGCACACACTGGTTTTAGGGAGGGAGGGGGGGGAGATAAACAATTCGTACCAACAAGAATTTCTCATTTTTCATCGATGCGTTTTGGCAAAAACATCTCAAAATCACAGAGTGATATGTTGTGTTTACAAGAAGATGGATATGCAGATGTGGATCCAGATGGGAGTGTGGTTTGGAGAGCACAAAATACAGCACATGTTGTGTTTGGCGGGCAGGCTCCTCATGGATGTGTGCGTTTGTGTGTGGAATGACTACACACCTGACAAGTGTGCGATGGGTTTGGGTGTGTGAAAAGTATTTGCCCCCGTACAGACTGCTTTACTTCCCTCCACGTAATATTTTCAGGTAATTAAACATGTTTCAATACCAGACAAAGAATCAGACAGTTTTCACGGAATGATTCAATTTAAGACGGGAAAATAAACACCCACATCAGCCTGGACAGTAATTAACCCCGCTTTTAAAACTGGATTAGCTGTGATTTACCAGATGTCTTTGCTCAGTTTCACTAGCCACACCCCAAACTAATTGCTGTAAGAGCCAAACAACGAAAAAGTCACTTATGACGTAAGACTCATGTAGCCCTTTTCTGCACACGCGAAGATGCTTTACAATGTCGCTGAAGGTGGAAGTCTAATGGATGGTAAACACTGCTGGCCTAGGTTTTATTGTTCTCCAAGCAATGGACGATGTTGGGTAACAACAGCAGTTAAACCCTAATCCTACCATATGGGATACAAGAGGAATGTTTCTACTTTTTCAGTAGAAACGGTTTGTGCGCTCTGTTTTGTGTACCAGTCATGTTAATATATGCGCCATGTTTTGAAAGAGCTTTTAGAAAACATGTGAAATGCAGTAAGAATAGAGTAATTTGCGTATTTTTTTGTATCATTGCAAACCCTAAGACCCTGCAAGATTCTTCAATTGTTTCCTTATCACTATTTTTCAGAAATATCCATTCAACCGTTTCAGGCCTGTGACTTTAATACCAAAAACAAACCATAGAAAAACCTCCCACACCAACCGAGCACTTGGTATAGGAGAACAGTAGAGCAAAAACTGCATGAATGCTTGAGGGTGGAAATCTTACAATCATTTGTGGCTGGATCACAGACAGGAATTAAGTTTGGAGAAATGGTGTATCCAAGTCTACTTTAGACTGAAAATCACTGGACATTTGAGGTTCCACTTATCCATTAAACTAAAACATAAGAAGAGGACAAAAGGCTTGTTTTGAGACAAATTCCTTGTGTTGTGCCGAACAGACATCCTTTTCCCTAAAACTGTTTAAAAAAAAAAAAAAGAAAAAGTGTCCATATCAATCGACCACATGTATTTTGCGAGCCAAATTCTGGCCACTCGAAGTGTGGTTAGGAATCCCAAGGACCACGCAGACTTCAGTAGGGCAAGTCTTTGGGAACGTTGCCTTTATGTGGAGTTGATCCTTGAGAACAACGGGATGAAACAAAATCAAAAGTTGGAGGCGTACAAACGGTCTAGTGCTGATTGACAACACTAAAATATGGTTTCTTCTGGACAGCGACTAAAGAGCTGAGACAAAGTCAAAGCACGAACTGAGTGTTATTGGTTTGTTTGTCAGACGTAATGTTGGTTCGTCTTCTAAACTGTTTGCACGATTAGGTGTCAAATGTCAACTGACTTGGTAAGCCACAAGAACAAAAGAAGCAGTTAAATGAAAACCAGTTAATTATTCTCATAAACCAGAGAAAAGGCAACCAAAATGTTCAAAACTAAACTTCAGAACACCAGTGGTTTTCATACTTGTATGTTGACATACCTTAAAACTGGACCGACTTATTCAATAAATTAGAACACAATCGACTTATTCAAGATTTTTTGCATGGTTTGAGGAACTGACCTTTTTACGGAATAATCTCCCCGCCGTCCGACCGTGATATGTGCTGCACTCTTCCCGAGCGTCATGCAAAAACCCCAGGAGGGTTGAAAAGTCAATTTCTTCACTTAGTGAAACACTTTACATATAATAATTACACAGATGGATGCTCAAGGACAGACTTAGAGGAGGGTGTGGGCCCCTGGGCTTGAGC